GCATAAAACACCGAGTGGCCGCATAAATAGTGGTAATCGGTGGCGTCTGCCGTGGTCCGGAGCAGCCTCGCCCGACTGAGCTCGGTGGAATTATGAAGGCGAGCTGGTCACGCGAGCGCCGAACAGTCCTGAACAGCTGCACCGAGGTATAGCGCAGATTGGCGCTGGCGATGTTCTCGGCTGTATCAGTGGCCTGACGGCGAGTCGTTAATTACCTCAGTAAAACCCCGGCTCAGGGGCAGACGGCACGACAGTTCGCACCCGACTGTGGACGTCTGTCGCTGGTCAGGGTTAAAACCCAGCCGAGCCCGGGTCATCGGATCGCGAAGGGCGGCGTCCGTCCCTCCCCTCTCGATTGGTTTTTGAAGGGCACACAGCTGTGGTGGCTATCTCACCCCTCCAAATCCCGCCGCACGGTCGAGTGTTGACTTTGGGCAGCACTTACTCCGGCCGTAGAGGGATCGTTTTGGAGCGTGCGCCCATCAAGGAAGGTGCGTCCGCCGGCTCCTGTCCCGTCTCCTCATGCTACCCGGAGCGTCTACCGAGCTGTAGGCTCACCCACCGGCCGACACGCGTGCTGAGCCCGGAGGCACGGCTGGCTGACTGGCCATATAATCACCTGCCAGCACTGATGACTCCGGTTGGAGGGCATCCTCCCCCGTGTCCCCTGTGGCTGGGCGGAGCACCGATTGAGGGAGGTGCTGCATGAGAAGGCTCTGATCAGAGGGTACGACGGGGATGGTACTGATGAGGGGACATCCCAGGGAGGGGCGGTACGGACGATACCGATTAGGGGGAGGGGTGCACTGGATGGATGCACCGGCACATCCGATGCTCACCTGATTCAGCGCTGTCCTGTTGCCGGCGCACGCAGCGCTCACCCCAGCAGGTCGGCTGTTGCCGGGCCACGCTCCACCCCTCCCTCTCCTCTCACTATCTCCTCTCACTCTCTCTCCGTGATGAGCGTCCCGCGCAACCGCTGGAGCTGTTTGGCGCGAGTTTTTGTCGGCCGGCGCCACGCTGCGCCCTCAGGCCCCGCCGGCGGCGGCCAGGTGTCGGTGCTGCCATCTGTGGAGCGATTGGCCAACCAGCCGGGCGGGCTTTAATTTCGACTCGTGACAGCGGCGGTGGCGGCGGCCGGAGCCGCCGGCGCTGCCCACTGATACCGATGATGACGGCTCGATCAGGTTCAAGGCCGAGCGAGTGGTCACCCCTGGACCGGTGCCGTACCAAACACTCCTCCCTCCCTCGGCCCTCTTCCCCTCTCCCCGCCGCACCGGATCTAATCCGGACAGCATGCACTGTTAGTCATAATGGCCACATTCATAAGTTTGCAACTCAGATATGATCTGCACAGACCGCAGAGCTGATTCACGTATTCATTGTTTGCGATTTGGCGGCTGCAAATGCGAAACCATTTTACCGATCCAGTGGTTTGCATATCACTGCAGTCAGCAGTGTACCTGCGAATTACACATTCACTGACGTCATTCTCTCTTTGTTTCAGATTTCTTTATCAACCGAAAGCGGACGTCTGCCGGCCTGTCCTGCGGCGACGACTCCGCTGCCAAGCGTCGATCCAGCGTGTCGCCGGCAACGAACGGAGTAGGAGGCGGTACCTCTCAGCAGGCGACGGCACCGGCCACCACCGAGCCCACCATCTGAGGCGATCGAGGCACGCGCGAGGCTCGCGACTCTGTGTACAAAACGAGCTGATCTCAAATCTCGTTTGTTTTGTTTCGGTGAAGTTTATCGAGTATTTATTGGTCACGAAATCCAGTTCAAATAAATTCGATCTCAGTTGGCGCGGCGGCGCGGTGCGGCGTCGCTCGGTAGTCTCGGTCTCGGTTCTCGTCTCTCTGTCTCTCTGTCTCACTGTCGCGTTGCGGGCGCGCTGGCCGCCGCTGGGTCGGCGGGCCGCCGACGGCGGGTGTCCCGGGTCGCCCGCCGTCGGGCTGTGATAGAACCTGGGCGGCGACGGCGGCGGCGCGGCGGCAGCGACGATCTCCCGGCCCGGCCGGTCCCCGCCGGCCGCCGGCCGTCCGCCGTCCGCAGTACAACAACCAACAATCAGCGCGCACCGAGCCTGTGCTCGGGGCCACCGGCGCCGGCCGCGGGCCCACCCCCGCGCCCGGCCCACTGTACATAGCGGCTATTCGTTTGGGCATGTGTGGATTATATTGGGACCAATTACTGCGCGCGCGGTGCGACAATTTAGAATTATGCTTTTATTTGTATTGATTCAGTCTGTGATGTAATGTTACGTTAAGTCTTCCTTTTGGGGACTTCGATGTTTTAGTGACATCGTTGTTATCACACTGGAATAAAGGAGGCAAATCTGCACTGTGTTTGTGGTGAATTAGGATCGGACGATGTCGGATTTTGTTTGATTTACTGCCCCCGAGATGCAGTAAAACCACCATTGAACAATACAAAGGAAAGCAACGTGAAGTCGGCGCCGTTTTCCTGAGGTCGTTGCTAACCAGGCCGCGTGACACAACCATCAGAATTCAGAAGCCAGCGTGAAGAGGCTGTTAGTATAAAATACGATTAATCCGATCATAATACCAACTGTCAGGATTAGCAATAGCCCGAACACTTGCTGACTTCATAGGTATGATACGGCTTATACCTAAAGCGATGAATCGCATTATTCTATCTCGACCTACTTCTACCTTCTCGCAGCAAGCATTAAAAATACCCAGAATCGGTTTCCAACACGGTGGTTTTTTTATTTTATCCAGGCATTCACTGCACGGTAAAGCACGACCTTCACATAATCGAGCCAGCCAAGTTGACCTCTGTGGTAGCAGATTCACTGACGTATCGGTCGTCGGACCTGTCACATCGTCAGACACCTGTCACAGATCGCACACCTGCTTCGGCAGCGCGTCCGCTATCCGCTTCGCACCATCAGACACCTGCTCATTGTAGATACCCCTGAAACGGAACGCATTTAGTCACATTGACGGTTGGTCCCGTCATGCCAACCGCGTGCATCGGTGCCCACAATCGTTCGTGGTGTGATTCTCGTACCGTCAACTCACACCAAGTTGAATCTATGGGTACGTTGGCACCTGTCATACACATCATATCACATTCACGTCGAAAGGGTGAAGGGGGATATCAGAGGGGTGATGCCGCACATGCAACAAAGAGGTGCATAATTTTTTATTGATAGGGTCGAAGTTATATTACAGCCCTTGACGCCGTCTGTATATTAATTCACGATAGCAATAGTAAGTTTAAGGACAAAAGGCTTCAAAGTTGTTACAGGTCAGACTGGCAGTGCTCACAGTACTTCGGAAGTCCTGCGCAACCTGTAACCTTTTAGACTTTAGATGTTGGAGGGGGCCGTCTTCCAGAGAAAGATTGCTGATTGTTTGATCGTCGTCGTGCTAGGGATCTGGCTTCAGCATTTTTTCTCTTACAGGTTTACCGTTCACATTGTCCGTTTAAATGTCATCGCCCTTACGATCATACAAAACTGTTCAGACACTTGTTTGGGACGTCTGACGGGCAGGCAGTTCGTGGTATTGACTTAACTATCTGGTTTGTATTTTTTTTTTCTGAGCTTCCTCGTTAATTTATCTGATCCATGAAAAACTGAATGCTTACATTTTTCATAAGTAGGTATATTGAACAAAAAGAAGTGGCGAAAGTCGAAATAAAAGACGTCCTCAGTCCTGTGCGCGCTGCTCTGGTAGGTCTTTCACCCCTTGGTTCTTTCCTATCCCCTTCCGCCTCTCACTGCCACCCTCCGGTTCCATTCTGCCTCCCTGGCGTCTCTCTGTTCCTCTACCCGTTCTCCTCTCCTCCTCCTTTCCTCTCTCTCTCTCCTCCCTTCGCGGGCCGGTGAGCGCCTGGTGACAGGGTCCGCACCATGGCCTTGTCCCACCCGGCTAACCCATATAGGCTAACGGTCGGCCTGGGACACTTTCCCCCTTTTAAATTCAAACGGCGCCCGGTCGGTCCGGCGGCTGCGGTCGGCGCATAAACAGAGCGACCCGGTGAGACGCGCCAGGGCGGCGTCCTGTCAGCGGCTGATCCACGGCCGCTGCGCCAGGCGCGGTCACGAGCGGACCGACCCGGAGCAGACGCCACCCCGGTCGCAGCTCTCTCGTAAACATGTAGTGACCAACGGTCGGCGGCCGGCGCCGAGCAGCGACGCCACTTTCTCCCCGGCTGGCTGACGCCGGTCAGCCAGCAGCCCGCCCGTCAAGATGCATTTGTAAGACATCGCTGGTCTCCGGATAGATAGATGGTTTAGTTTAGACGGCACCGACATGGGCACACTGAATTGGAGCTGAAGTGGTGGAAAGTCTACTGGCCCAGTTAGCTGGAGGTAATCTGTTTTTAACTTGTTAAAATGCGGTGAAGAAGGATTAGGAATGGCGGGAGCATTGTAGGTAACTAAACGAATAAAAAGCAGAACAGTTTTTATCACATTGCATTTTATCTTCATTAGCATACACATTTTTAAAATATGGGTACGAAACAAAATTCATCGCATATAGCCAAAAAACTTGGCATTATTCATGTAAGCAACATGGCCAATTCGTCGCAGCTCAGAGTCAGGTTCATCAGCAAAGCGGGCATGCTAAATGCTTAGGGCGTGCTGCTGACTGTAAACGAAGCTCAAATTTGGAAAGGAGAGCCGACCAGGAGCCGACAGAAAATATATCTTTTGAGTGTTTGGCGGAGTCCCTCGCTACATAACCCGTGTCCCAGTGTCTGCAGTTAGTTTGTTGCCATCGCAAATGTTGCTGATATGATTTCAGTTATAGGTACGACGAAAAGAAAAAGCATGAAAAATAAAGGGGTAGGCCAGTGATCACGTCAAACAACATGCGTTTCGCTTATTACATATTATGGCATCATTAACCGTGCCAATTAAATGTACCTACTACCTAACCTAATACCAATTCCGCCCACGCAGGTGAACCCGGGAGATAATCAGCTGACTGCAGAACGCCCCGGGATGCGATCACGTGACGGAGGCCTCGGGCGGCCAACGGGCGGCGGCCGACTGAAGGAAGGGTCGGTTGTGCGTAAAACGGTCAGTAAGACTAAGCACAGGCGAAAGGAGGGACGGCATCGCGTTGGCAGTGATGGGAAACGTTGAGACCAGTGTCAGTGTGCGATTTGGGCATATCTCCTCAATTAGCTGAACGCATGAGTGCTCATTATGATAACTGGACTTTTCAATGGACCCAAGAAGGAAAACAGTCATGCTATGCTGAACTACAGCCATCATTGGAGCCTTTTCTAAGGTAGGTCCCAGAAGGCATGACATTCGGATAAAACTCACAGGAACCGTAATCCGATTTTAAATCCCGTTTGATATCTGCTGCCTGTTCATATGATAGATCTAGGACATCCGGTATAAACAGAACCGTTTCTCTCCACCATGTCTCGGCTTGAGTGTCCGGTGACCCGTGCGGACCACGTGAGGCTATGAGTGGAACCATATACCTGTCACCAGACGTAATGGTAAAAAATACTGAACTCGTAAGTTCAACGAGGACAGCAAGTCACATGCTGTCATGCATGTGGCACTGCGTGCCATCACATGAGGGAGAGGAAACTGCTCAGTGCTCAGCTTCGTGCTGTATTCTAGACGGTGCACTGTGAGCACATTCCACTTGATATTCTGGGGTCATGTATGTCTCACGTGGGGGGGGGGGGGGGGTCAGTGGCTCGTGATCGAACAGAGCATGTGAGGATTGAAAACCCCACAGCATACGAACTACCGCAGGCCACCTTTCCTGGGGCCAATACAGTTTTATAGAGTTGTTATAGGCACCGGTCTGGGCTGGGCTCAGCATTCGGCTTCTACTGATTTGTTCAATTTCCAGCTACATAGTTATTTAAAAGAAAAAATGAGGAAGATTTACAGATCATGATGAAAAACTATCAGTCTTGATGTTTTTATCATTTTTCCGCCACCAAGTTTACAGTAGCACGGGGTGCGTGTTTGGCCGCTCTGGCATCCGCCGGAAGGTGCGGCTCGCACGTGGGCACCCCAGACCGTCTCCCCCCCCCTCCTCCCGCGGCGGGGCAGGTATACGGAGCGGGCTCCTTCTATAGCAGCTTCCTGTCCACGTGCGCCGAGCGTCCCCGACAAAAAGGAGCATCCGGCGGCGGCGGCGACTGCCCGCCGCGAGCTGGCCCACCTGCGGTCGGGTGGGCTCCCCAAATTACAGCCCCCGGCGAACGGCACGCTGGAGCTCACCGCCAGCCCGAGACCGAACAGGGGACTGAGACTGGAGAGCTGAAACAGGGGACCGATACCTCAGGGGGTGAGCGCAGCCGAGCGCACCTCCGGGAACGGGGCTGGTCAAACTATGGACAGGATGTTATAACTGACCGGACTTGCACCTTCGGACGGCCGCATTTCGGCCGGATTATATGAGGATTGGACGGGTTTTATTTGGACTGAAAGGGGACTGTATTAGGGCACGACGGGATCGGAAGGGGTTTTACCGGAGCTGGATGGAGTTCACAATAAAGGTAAATGAGTTTTAACGCTTTGATTATGAGCGTCATAAGCCTGAGAGAGCAAGTATAGAGAATTGAGTAATGACGTTGAGCAGATGGAAGCTGGGAACCCGGACAACCGCTCAGCTCGCTGGCGGTACACGCGACGGGCGGAGGACTGCAGCCACGTCGGCACCTCAGCTCCGTAGGAGGTGCCCGTTTACACCGCGCTGCCATCGCCAGCCTCGTGACGGGCGGTCATATTGGATCGGCCCGATCATGAGCAGCAAATCAACTCCGTAATGAGATGGGAATTATCTCAAACAATCTCCACGTCGCCGAATTTAAATGCCGCTTTATTTTCCGCACAGCGTACGACACCGTGCCATTATTTTGATTTACACCGGCGTTTCTCCAGTGGTTCTCTATCTGAATTTCGCTGTGATGACGTTTGATGAATCGATAGGAGAGGCCGTATATCTCATGGCTTGTTCATTAATGCCACAGCGATAATTGCCTTACATTGAGCTCTAAGGGAGACCATGAAAATAATAAATGAACATGCGTTGTTTTAATAGCAAGTTTGGTGCAGACAGAACATCAATAATCGGGCATGTCTGTATGTATAGTAATTAAACTTTTCAATGTCAAACTTTTCAATCTTTGCGATTAAGACAGCATTTAAATAGTCTAACTACAACGCCGCTAAATGACAGCAATGCCTTTAATGATAAACTCAAGAGTGGTTGTTATGCTTGCGTAACTAATTATTTTGATACTCGTCAGATAACTTCGGTTACAACAATCTCTCTCAGAAGCAAAGCTGTATTAGGTATAGAGGGTGCCGTTATTTGGGTCCCACAGTTCATGAGAAACAGGCCCCAGCGGAATCGCTGGGGCCTACTAATCCATATATTCACCTGACAAAAGCAGAGGAAAGCCTTGGTGACCTCCTCTGCTGTATGCCTTGGCACTTTTGCAGAGCGATAGTATGACCTTGTGCGGCCGAGTGCGATGTACGGTACACGGTGTGGGGCATTGTGGTCGGACTCTCACTTATGTGAGCTGTCGGTGCACAGAGTCCCATCCCCGGGCCTCAGCGTCCGACAGCCCCGGTCAGGCCTGCCCGCTGGGGTCGAGCGGGGAGGGGGAGGGTCTGACGCGTGGGACGGCTACACCTGTGGAGCTCGTGTATGGGGCACAGGTGTCACTGAGGCGCTCTGAGCCGCGCCATCTGACAGCTAACCGTTAACCTGAACCGTGAGTCAGAGCGCGGCCGCGTCCCACGGGACGAGCGCAGACCCGGCGGAGACCGCCCTGTTCTGGCGGTTCTGGCACTGCCGTGCCAGCGACCGACTGCCGCACAGGCCAGCCGCAGTCCTCCTCACCATTCGTCAGGTCTTGCTGCCTGCGCAGGATTATATAATTACATAACACATTTATGCTCTCCTACACACACTGCTCTTTGCCGCTGCCATTAGATATCCCGGTCAACAGCTAGCTGAAGCCGCTGCCATTAGATATCCCGGTCAACAGCTAGCTGAAGCCATCCAGTCGACCTTTTGGCTGAAGTCATATTGAACTGAAGTCAGCAGCTCAGTTTCCATGTAATCGACACCTGAGCCGGCCGTTGACTCTGGTCAAACCAGAGAGCCACGTTTTAGGCGCCATGTCGTGCTGTTCTGTCCAATCTCGCATCTCGCATCCCTTGCCACAGCGCGCTGCTCCGTGAGCTGCGTCTCACGCCGACCGCTCACATCTCACCAGACAACTCACCCGGCTCAACAGACTCAATTCTCGCACCAGACCGCTCACCTTGCCGACCGGCAGGCCGCGGACTGCGCCGGAGGACGGCTAACGGGACGCACTGCCGTCTAGCTCTGCCAATGTCAATGTCGGCCGTGCGGCCGTGTGGCTCTGTCCGGCCCAGTAATTCGTCCGGACCGTGTAGTGGGTAAAACACAGCTCGGTGGAGCGGGCGGCAGCCGGTCGCAATTGAACGATCATTGGTGTGAGGTTTTTGAGAGGGGTAATGGTTAGATATGGACGCCAAGACGTGAAGAATATGCGTCAAACGAATATATTTAAAAGGTCGATTTGGCAAAATCAGCGTTCCGCCGTGTAGTACGTTTGTTCTTCGTTTCTGAACATCAATTGGCTGAATATATCGACAGTGATTCTGATTGGCCATGGGCGATCTCGAGTAGATTACGGCTGTTCTCTGAGGGCATACGGGGAGAATAGCTGCCACTCGAACCTGCCTCCTCATCGTGCCAGGTAACGACTCATGCCCCCGGCCAGCCCGCCTGTTGCTGGGCGTTACCACCGACTCCGCTCCGCCTCACCGTCCATCGCTTCGAGCGCCACTACCGGGCTCCGCGCCGCCCGCCGCCGCCTCGGGCGACACGTCATGAAGCTAGCAGCGTCATGGGCGAGAGAGAAGAGGGGGTGGGCCTGCTTACTCAGTATATTCGCCGCTGTCCGATGTCAGCAGTGTTAGGTCGCCGACCTCTGTCCGCTGACCAGCGTCCGCCTCTTCTCAAAACAACCCGCACCGCCCCCTCCCCCGTCCCACCAGCCTCTCGGAGTCAACACCGAGCCTGCCGGCAGCACCGCCCCCTCGCGGGCCCCGAGGTCCGCCGGCCAGTGCAGTGCCCCCGGCCTGTTGTCCTTGAGCTGCGAGCTCTAAGACGACTGGCGAGTGGCACGGTGCAACAACCCGGTATCACGCCGACCGGAGCACAAGCCGAGCGCCGCAGCCCGACCAGCGGCCATTTAACCGGGACCTTGAACCGGCTCAGCCCGCGGTCCGGTCAGCGCAGCGTAGTACGAGCGCGGCCCATGGACGAACCCGCCGGCGTAAAAACCCGTCCGTCCGTCCGTCCGTCGGACAGTCCGAGCTCAGCGGCGAGGTTTTTGCTCCCGGACGGAGTGCACGGCGCTCAGTGCAGCGCACGTGAGCGCCGGTCATGGGGCCTGCCGGGCCGGCCGGCCGGTCGGCCAGGGTGAGTGACCCGCGCCGTGCGCAGCGCCCGGTCAGACCGGTCCGAGGAGTACGCTTAGCTCGGGTCGCCGAGCCGGTGACCCCGCTGCCGTGGCAGGCTGAGAACGGAATGCACGGCCGTATACGAGGTGCGAGCCTGGCGCTCCGGCGGTATTACGGTGCTGCGGTGGGAGCGTGACCCGCGGGTCTTCCGACAACTCAGAGTCGATGGAGCGGGACGGTGACCGCAGCCGGTCAGGGTCAGAGGCGCTGGGAGCGACCGGGGCACTGACTGACACTCCCAGTACTGGCGCTGGCTGACCTTCAACCCATGACCAGCCGTGCCATGCAACACGGCAGGGTCGGCGACCGCGCGGGAGCCCGCGCAGGTCATTGCCAGGGAGTGGCAACACCAAGAGCAGCGACCTGGGACGAAGGTCAGGCGCCTTCTGACGTGGCCGGCTGCCATCTCAGGGCTGCTGCATATACACCCACGGCCGGTCTGCCCCGATAGGCTACACGTCTGGGCCTGCCGCCGCGGACAGACGGCCTCGTGAGTGGCAACTGTGCCAACAATCATGACGTGCTGTCACTGCCCAATGATGGCATGTGACGCTGACGGGACACAGAAACATCACTGCGGCGACAGACAGGCGGGACGCAAACCTAACATTTCCAAACGTTTGCCGTTTGACGCTCGGTTTACCCAATAGCTTGACATGCTGCACTGCGGCAGATCTCAGTGAAGATAACGCATATAATTGTTTATCATATTGACCCAAGAAATTTCCGAGACATTGCGCAGAATAC